ATCAGTATGTATCAGCATATGACGTTTTATTGAAGTCGGACATGACAAACACTATATGCCTCGGCCATATTCATGGCAGGGCATAAAAAACTTGAATCTACACTATATGAGGATGTTTCCATATCAAAATGACTAACAAGCAAATTCAAAGAATTGTGGTCCCCTGCTTTCCGTGTCCTAGTGGATGGGATGCCATTATTTATGACATATTGTTTCAAATATGCATGTCCTATCATATGTCATTCAAAAGTAATCACCAAAGTTAAAATTTTTGAAAATTAGGTAAAACATCAAGGTCAAGGGGTAAAAAATCATAGCATGCTTGGAAACATATTGTTACAGGTAATGTACATGTCAAATATAAAAGTCCTATCTCTTCTCAATCAAAAGTTATAAGGAAATATAACATTTTTGAAAAGTAGGTTAAACTTCAAGGTCAATGTCACAGAGTCAAAAGTCATGATATATTTAGAAAGGTCTTGTCACAGGTAATATACATGTATAATATGAACGCCCTATCTTTTCTCTTTCAAAATGATCATTTGAAATAATGTTAAATTTTTTGAAAAGTAGGTCAAACTTCAAGGTCAAGGTCATGGGTTCAAAAATCATGGTATGTTTAGAAAGTTCTTGTAGGTAATGTACATGTGAAATATGAAATCCCTATCTCTTATTATTCAGAAGTTATGACCAAGGTTAAATTTATTGTGACAGACGGACAGACTGACAAACGGACAGACTGACAGACAAATGAGATTTAATGTCCCCTAGGTCCCTTTTGTGAAAACGGACGACAATAATGCCCTTGCTATTCATGAGAAGAAGATTTATGATGGAAAAAATCCCCTGCATTTTTCTATGTAAATCATTGGATCCCCATATGTGACCCCATCCTACCCCAGTGGGTCATAATTTTAACAAATTTGAAGCTACACTGTCTATGTAAAGAAAGTTTCAACTTTTTGGGCCCAGTCAGTGGTTCTTGATAAGACTTTTTTAAAATGATACCACCAAATTTTCACTAATTCTTGATTATCCCCCCCTTGAAAGAGGGTGTGACCCTTCACTTGAACAAACTTGAATCCCCTTTACCCAAAGATGCTTTGTGGCTGGGTTGGTTGAAATTGGCCCAGCGGTTCTAGTGAAGAAGACAAAAATGTGAAAAGTTTACAGGCGGACAGATGAATGACAAACAAAATGTGATCAGAAAACCAGAAAAACTCAAGTGAGCTAAAAACTGATGATCACAAGTACTTGGAAAGAGTTACAGTATTTGAAAAGCAGTTTTTTTTTCATGCATTAATTGTTTTCAGAAGCTGAAAAGGTATGACTTGTATCCATGTTGAAAAAACTTCACATTTCAGAAAACAGTATGATTAAAAATAGTTAATCAAGGTGCTTTGAGTAGCAAAATAAGCCAAACTGGTATAGCTAATTCAACCACAGAGCTTAGTGAATTTTAAAATGCACAACCTTTTCAACTCTTAATCATTCTTAAAATATTTATATCATCATTTCTGATTCAAGGGAGAACTAGAGATATGATCAGAAGTATATCCATTGACTAATAAACATGTACATGTATATTGTGTTTTTTAAGTCATTAATGTTTGTTTGTTGTTAAATGTCCCTCTTGGGAATTTTTCACTCATACGGAGACACCACCACTTAAAAATAATGAAGACGTACAAGTCGGATTTAAGGTTAACATTCATTTTAGGAATTTTCAACAATTAATTAAGACGTAAAGAGATAACTCCTTCCCCTTGCCCCTTCCCCTTCCCAGACCCCAGTTTGTTCATGTATGCAAACTAGTCTAATACTTTGGTTTGACATAAAAAAATGTGAATACATACAAATAGTTTAATGGTCCATCTCTTTGAATGATTTTCATTCCTAATTCTAGGTTGACCCAAATTCATGAATGAAATGTCAAGTAATCTTATCATTGATGCACTTCTATTTAATTTGATGTAGTCATATTATGAACAAGAGAGTGGGGATGACCTCAAGGGTTCATAACCTTAAACCATTAGATGTACATAACATAATAACACAAGAAACAAAATTATGTCTAGTCAAATGGAAAAATTTTCTACTATTTAGGAATTGCATGATCATTTGTCATTTCAGGGACAGGGAGCGGCTAGGGAGATTGGAACCCCCCCCCCCCTCTCCCCCTGGAATTTGCAGAGTTATTTAAATAGGACTATATACTGATTTACAGAAGCAAATAAAAAATGACTTTGGATGCCCTCCCCCTTTAAAAACATGGACCCCACCATCATTGTTTTTATTTTGTTTGTTTGTTTGTTTTTTTTTTTTATTTTGCTCCTCAGGAAATTCTGGGCTGGAATTTTTTTGGACCGAGGTGTGGACCCCCCTCCCCCCCGGAAAAAAATTCCCGGATCTATGCCTGTAACTGAATGTAATGTCGACAACGGGAGATAACTCTTCAGAATGTGAAATTCGTCTATTGTGGCATCGATGATCCACTCTCTACGATCGGCTCATACATTCAGTGTCTGAGAGAGAAACGAACGACAACTCTGCATAGGAGATTGCCGATGATCTTTGATCCTTTTTAAACTTTAACCTAACCATTTGCATTTTGGTTTATTTTACCCCAATCTATACTTAAACTTGTACTTACCGACTGTCATAGGTCCTGTCAACTTCATGAAATATAATCCAATTAAAACACAAAATGAATTAATTTCCACTGATATACATGTAACATTGCACCATGTCACATGGCATGTGCAATCTAAAAATGATAATGGTAAAACTAGTACTATAGTCTGTCCCACGACCGGAACGTCACTACTTTTTGTAAGATATCTCAAAATATATAAATACCTTGGCTTTCAACCTAGGTTCGATCAGTAGATTGATTTTTTTCCAAACTTCCTGCATTTATACGAACCCTCGAGATCAACCAGTGTATTGACACGGCGGCAAATTCAAAGTCTACGGGGATTTAACATTGTCAAAATGGCAGCCACTTCGGAAGGGGATCCATCATTATTCGTAATTTTCCGTACATTGCCGTCAGTGAGGTAATGACGTCACGCAAGTTCGGGAATGCTCTGAGCTTATCAACGTCTAAAAAGCTATAAAGCCCGAAACTTGCCTAGTATATATTTAGGCCTATATATAGGAGAAATTACGTCTTCGACAAAACTTTCATACCCAGGGCCAGACAGAAGGGATCAGAGATTTTTAAAAACAGCTAGCCTATACACTGCATAAAGAAAAGAGGTATGACTCAATTCATATAGCCTAAGATTGTAATTATCATATTAAAAACAATCGAGGCAACTGCAAATTTAGCTCAAGTGACATGACTGCTTTTATTGCCAAAACGTAGAGATCTAACTTCTAATAAACGTAGTCATATTATTAAGATTATCAAAATTAATTGCTGCTTTACCTTACTCCTTAGCCTTCCACATAAATCCAATTTCCTATAGTTTGTTATAAACACGGTCAAAAGAGGCATCGTATCACTTCTATGTGAACAATTGATGTCCGTAACTGCACAGTATATCCTGTTTTTGTTAGACTTTCAACACTTTAAACACATAAATCCACAATCAATGTTATATTTTGAATCTCGGTGCAAAACAACTATTGTTGTCTGCATCAAACTACGTCACCAATGGAATTTGACCTTGCCCTTCGAAAACTTCCTGTAATATCGGCATTAGGTAAATCCAGGCCCTTGGTTATATTTAATATAACAGAATGCCAAAAATTAAATACTCAATCCTACACAGAAAAACTACATAACACAAGTGTAAAAGATTATACTACTTTTTATTTTAAATTTTACCTTTTCTTTTTTTATCACCTTATTTTTTTTCTTTTGGTAGAAAGTTCAATAGTTTTACATAAAAAAAGAAAAGATTATACATGTATATGTATTGACACTTTCTATACATGTCAGAGCCAGCTGCTAGTTTGATTCTTAAACAAGAATTTAATTGCAGGTTGCAGGATCATGAAACAGACTTTGACTTAAGTCATATTTTCAATTGCCAGTAAAATGTTTATCATTTATTGAGTTAATCTCTAATTTTGCAAATAACAACACTTTTGTAAAACAATATTGTAAAATAGTTTTATTTTGGCCTGCTTGACTTCTACAACATTTCAGTACAACATAAAGATTTTGACTTAAGCTTAAGATGTTTCATGATCCTGGGGCCAGGATACCAAAATAGCTACCCGGTGAAGACACAACATACTTTGAAAATGGTCATTTTTACCCTATAATTCAAGAAGTCTCTCAAGAAATGCAGGCAATTCAAGAAAAAAAATCACCTAAAATTTTAAAAACACCATACTGAATATAGACAAGCACAAACAAACAAGTACATAAAATAAATTCAGCCATAAGTAGCTGCAGATAACATCCTAAGTAATTTTTGCTATATGGACTGTAGATACATGAGCAGTCTGGGCAGCTTAGTTGTTAGAATACCTCATTAGTATACAAGTATTTGCAATGCAGAGGTCCTGGGTTTGATTCCCAGTCAAGCAAAATGTTTTTCCTCATGTATTTGTAAATTTTCAAAGTATGTTTATTCATTATTCCATTCCCTGGTACATATGGCTTCCTGATATACATTTTTTCTAAATTGCATAATACTATGGAATCATTTTAATTTGTGGAGGTCAGTGTTTGTGGGCAGGCATATAGTTTTGCTGTTTTGTGGACAGGACATAAATAAGGTTAACCAAAATACAATCAAAGGAATTAATGGATTGATTAAAATGTTAAAATAAGCATTTGTGGAAATATAAATTTATGGGTATAGCTGATCCATGTGATAAAATCCAAGAATGCTGGTCCTCCACAAACAATGATGATTCCACAGTAGATGTCAATCAGTTTTTGTAAGCTACCTGTCTAAAATGGGCAAAGTAATTAATCAAACTCAGATAACTGTTTTCAAAATTTTATTACTGCTTGTTTAACAGCAAGATACAGGTATATGTTTTTTTTAAAATTATCAAATAGAATTGCTTCAAACTTTAAACACATTTAGTGAGATTACAGGAAATATTGCAAACGATTAATGAATTGTCTTTCCTTTATTTAAAGATATCAGATCAAATTTAGAAGAATAAATGATTATGAAAATTGAGTGCCCAATGCTGCTGGTGTCCATGCTTTTGAAAAAAAGAAGTCATGACTCAGAATCCATAGTGAGAAACAAGTCATGAATGAAGATTGAGAAAGAGTGTTTATGTTTGTCTCCACTTAAACTTCTGTAGTAAATGGTTGGGGTCTGGCTCATCCAATGATCAACCCATTGGCAGACTACCAGGTAATCTTTCGTTCAGCCAATACTTTGAGCCTGAAAAAAAAGATGATGATGAAACACATTTTAATCCATCATAAAGATTCTGGTGCATGAAAATACTTTCAAGTCTGTGCAAAGTGAAATTTAAAGGAATAATGAAAATTCAAATGATTATACTTGAACTTGCATTACATGTTAACATGAATTGATACACATTAAAAATGCATGTATATAGTCAATTTTTCAATTTCAGGTTCCAACCTGAAGAATACATGGGAAGAGTAAAACCTTTTTCATTTATATAAATACTTACTAGCTGTAGTCTAGAAGAATGTCCTGAAACCTGAATGTTTAGTCCACCATCAAATGAATTTCAATCACATTATTCTGAAAAATTGAGTAGATAGTCTTCTACTTGCATGCATGTCTTAAAGTCACACTGTCTGGTCATCATAACTTTGCACTCCAATTAATTATACCTTCAAAAATGTTATTTAGTAATTAATAAAGGCATCATCAAATATTTTTGCTTTGGTTATTATTACATTTCTTTGATCAATGACTTGTCTTTTAAATAGCTAGGACTGCAATAGGAAGATAAAACTAAAAAAAATGACACAGCTTAAAATGTTATGTATCATGATATACAAAAATATATAAGGTTTTTGTACCAGGATATATTACTTTTTTGTGTGTACATGTATTGTGTAAGTTACATAGTATTATGTTTCTTGAAATTAATTTTTTTTTTTAACTTTGAACAAAGAAAAATGACTTGTAAATTTTATAGTCAAAATCTCATGATTGAAAGAGAAAAATGAAAGCACTGAGTTTGCTGAGGGACAGAAAAAAAAAATACATGAGAGATTAGAAAAAGATTGTAAAATGTGGACATGAAGTGTGCTAAGCTTAAAAGTTTCATTTTGATTGTTCAATATTTAAAAGACAGTATAATTTGAAGATATTAGACAATAATTTAATTTTGGTTGTAACGCTGTATTTGATTGGATAAAAAATTTACTTTATATCATATAAAATGGGTTGCCTACATCACAATGACTTGTGTCAAAAACATATCAATCTGCCTGATGTTACATTCAAATTTCGTAAAAATAGAAGTCATTTTTTAAGGGCAATCATCTTTTTTTCTTAAGCCAAACAAAAAAATATGTGTGGTTCCGGTTACACTTCCAAAAAAATTAGGGTAGGTAGGTAGGGAATTTTTTTTTTTTTTTTAAAATAACAAAATGATTTTCTTAATTTTTTCTAAATAATACCTATCACTGCTTTGCAAATGGCATTTAGATGTGGCGTGATAATATACTAGTCAATATTGGTAGGGAACACCTACATGCTAGCTTGCTTTGGATTTAACACTATTGAACACTTGCACTATGTTTTGCAAGGAGGCCGTCATTGCTGAAACTAAAACTTAAACTGGAGCCATTGATGGAAATCGGGGAAAATTCCGGAAAAAATATGAAAATTGCCAAAAAAAAGTTTAGGGTCGGGGGTATAAAATAGGGAAGGTGGGGTAACCGGAACCACACATATTTTTTTATTTGGCCTTACACCAAATGAATGAAAATTAAATTATAAGGAATGAATTTAATAGCTACCCAATTTATATGGTATAAATTGGGTTGGGACAGTTTACGCTTTTTTATAAACTGCTTAGCGGTTTATAAAGCGTAAACTGCCCAAACCCAGTTTATACTGTATAAAATGGGTAGCTATTAAATTCATTCCTTAATTATAATAGTCTGACTGGTTTATTATGTAAATCATTTTTGCTTTATAGCCATGATTTCTGATCTGCTACCCTCATCGCTAAATCAAGCTACATAGCTGAATCAAGAGAATGTGCCATACCTGTAAATACAGGGCATCTATTTCATCAAATTTGAAAATGTTCTGAATTTAGAAGTTAAAATTTTTGTTGAATAAAAAAATATTTACATAACTCTCTTTCACAGTAGGTTTCCCGGCAGAAAATATATATTATGCTATGGATACAATTACCATATATTTTTTATTACAATAGAAAAACTATTCTTTCATATGGGTGTTAAAAGATCTCTATATGAATATTGTTGCACTAAACTATAAACAAAAAATTGCATATACCAGTGAATAGAGTTTTGAAAAAAGAAATACTCAGATGACACCCTACAGTGTACTAGGAAACAGATTTTTCAAATTAAGTCCACATTTGAGCAGTATGGGAACTTGGAGACAAAATGAAGCTGCTTCCTGAGAAACACAACACAGCAATTTGGAACACTGAATGTGGCACATAGCATTAATTGGAAAATTGCCTCTGATGTCAATTTTTTTTTTTTTTTGAAAAATGTCTGTATTCAGAATAAATGATTCAGTTTTATCTTAACATTTATACTGATGAAATTATATAGACATGACTTGTTCTTTATTTTTTCCCTTTTTCCTCTTTTGCTTCTGTTTTTATTTAAACTGGAAAGTCAGGACGTACATGATTGCTGAAACACTCTGTATATTCATCTACCAAGATAGTAGTCTATACATCAATATATGTACATAAATGACCCTTAGAACTCAGTCCTGTAAAATTGACAAAACTTTGGGCTAAAGGTATATTTTAGATGTTAGAACTTGTAAAAAAAAAAAAAAAAAAATACACATTTTTCAATAAAAATTCAAAAAAAAAAAAAATAATAATAATGCCAAAAATATGTGTTATATATACATGATATAGAAAACTCTATATTGATTCCCCAGGGTGTTGACACTACAAATAAATGTAAAAAGAAAATGCATTTTACATCATGTAGATTGTGATTCACTGTCAAAAGCATGAAATGTTGAAAGAGAAAGTAGAGACTTTCATATATTGAAAATAATGTTTTTGCCAGCTGTTATTTTCTTTATGTAATCTTGGTGTTATTTTAATGCTTTTCTACTAATTGTTTAATCAGCTGATTGTGTCATATGTACCTTTTTACGTTTTTTTAAACACATACTTCTGTATATGGGGTACTGTTAAAATGCCAGATATACATATACCACGCCTTTTGGCATATTCTTACAATTTGGAAACACTTCTTTCGTGTGTGTACATTAGGTAGTAAAACAACAGCAGCAAAAAATAAATAAAACAAACAACTTACGTTTTTAAAAACACATTCTTGCATCATCATGGCCATTTCAACATCTGTATCCACAACTTGTACTGCATTATACTCGGCCGCGGACTATTTTCTCGGCGTTTATGACAAAACTCGTTATACAGTGTTAAAATATATTTTAATTCAAATAAATACTCACATTATTAATAAAAACACTTTAAATTACGTCCTTTGATTTTCTAAGATTTTTCGGAATTTTACTTTGGAAAGAACGACTACTCCCTTCAAAAACTGGTTCTCCGCCCCGTAATCTCGACGCTAATGGACGAGTTTACCATGTTAAATCCCCGTAGACTTTGAATTTGCCGCCGTGTCAATACACTGGTTGACCTCGAGGGTTCGTATAAATGCAGGAAGATTGGAAAAAAATCAATCTAACGATCGAACCTAGGTTGAAAGCCAAGGTATTTATATATTTTGAGATATCTTGCAAAAAGTAGTGACGTTCCGGTCGTGGGACAGACTATAGTACTGGTAGGGTGACGCAAGCCCAATGTGATGTAGAAATTTTCAAAAAGGTGTTCACATACATGTACAGTACAAGAACAAATTTTAAATTATCATAACAAACGATGTTTTAACATAACTTTGCCATCTAGGCCTATTTCCAAAAACAGGCAAATTGTGTGTGTGTGTATCTGGGGGGGGGGGGGACACATATAAATTGATTGGGTATGGCTTTTCAAGGAGGTTTTTGCCTAATCAAATACTAAAAAAAGTTTGCACATTTTGATAAATTCATCAAAAACGCTTTGTACTAAAATAATATTATTTGTTGTTGAGAAGATAAATTTAATTTAAAAAGTTCCAATTATAGGCCAAAAATTTATACCCCCCCCCCTCTTTTTATTAAAACCTAATTTACAACATTAATTAAATTCTGATATTTCAGACTGGTAATGAATTAAGTATATGAAATGCGTATAAGAGGTTCATGGGTCACATGGTCACCTGAGCATTTTATGCTCGATTTGACGAATACATGTACTGTGTAAATTATAGAATTATTTGGACTTTTTCCTTGGTAAGCCCAATATGAAGGAGTGTGCATTTAGAGGCAAACACCTTAGTGCGGGTATTACTGTCTCATGACAGCATCTAGTATTTACATGTAATTCCTTTTTTTCGGGGAGGGGGGGGGGGGGGGTTCAGTGATGAATTAGATATAATTCTCAACAAGGGAGACGTTCATCAATATAGTTTTGAGGTGATGTTTTTTAATTATATGTAGTAATCGATTCTAAAAAAGAAATAAAAGTAGTTACTAGTTACATCATGAAATAAAATATATGTACGTTCTAAATTGCCATCTATAACCCCCGCCTTTCTATTCTTGCATGTCATCCAATATTGGTTCGCCTTAGACCTGCTGATAGTTGGGGGGGGGGGGGGGGGGGTAAAGGCAAGAGTTGTTCCCTCTCATTCTGTAATTTCTGGATCCGCCACTGTAATACTTGATTTAGTCAGAAGTCATAAGCTGAAAACAAACATGCTAAACTGATCAAAAATTGGCCAAATTTCTCCTAAGATAAGACGTTCTTTTTTGTAGAAATTTTCCGCATTGCTTGAGTTTATTGAGGAAAAAATCATATGACTTCTCTCCTGTGTTTCATTGAAATAGTGCCACGATGTGGGTAAACTATGGCAACTTTTACATTCATGAACATTATTAACAATCAATAAAAATTGAATTTACGGACTACATGCTTTATTTTGAGTGAATTGTTGAGAAATTCAGATTTTTTCTGGTCAGACAGGCATACGAAAAGAATGACGTCGCACTAATGTAATATAACGTCGTGATGAAAATATAATACGTTTGATGGAAAATTGTAAAACTTGAAAGTTTTTTTGCGAGAAATTGAGCTAGAACACATATTAATTTTTTTTAATAGATCGATTCTAAATTTACTTCACATTCATTATAAAATCCGTCTGCTTCATTTTAATATTATGAGCATGTTTTTGAAATGCATATAACGGCGTGAAAGGCGCATTTTACTATATATTTCATTGAAATAGCGTCACCTGTTTTCGTCAACATTAGTGCATTTGAAGTACGATTACAACATAACCACGCAGACGAATCTCAAAAAAAAATTTCAGGAAGAAAATTTTGAAACGAAAGGATTTAGCTGACAAATTTTCAGCCTATGTTTTCAGACAGACAGTAAACCCGCGATCTACCTTAATGTTGAACTAACTCCTCAAACAATACATTAAGTTACCTGTAAGTGTCCATTCTTTTTTGAAAAATGTCCATTATTTTTAAGAATGGACAGTATTTTTTTCAAAAAGAATGGACAGTTAAAACAAACAGGATGGAGAGTTACAGGTAAACTTTAGAATATGTTCAAGAGGGAAACAAAAACAAATACATTAAATACTCTTTAATTTACATGTAAATAACAGAAAGAACGCGGAGATCTAAGTTAATCCAGAACACAATGTCTGCACAGGATCCACTTGATTTTACTCTTATAAATCCATGAATAATGTACATTATTTCAATACTCAAAACTCAATTTTCACAAAACTTGAATTCAAATGACACAATTTCACATTTGACTTTTCGGAAAAATCATTCCCTCGAGGAGAATTCATTTTAAGATAGAAGTACGTCTAATATTAAATCCTCCACCCAGAAAACAGTTTGCTCCATAAATACTATTATTTCCGTAGAAAATAATAAAAAATGAAACTTTTCCAGATTTGATTTGAAAAACGTTTTCAGGTCGAAGATTGGCTCATGGCTAACCCAACATTCAGAAAACAATATGAATTTCACCAGTACACTGCTGCAGTTAATATGTCCTCAAAAATAGAATTAAGAAAACCTCTCCAGGTTTGATTCGAATTTGATTATCTGCATCTGTCGGAGAAGTTCACTTTTTGGTCAAAGTTTGGCTAATATTTCTTTTACTCTTCTGCATGTTTCCAGATCCAAATATCATCAATTTATGCATATTTTGGTTTATTAGATTTTGATTCTGTCATATACTCTCTAGATCTCCATCGGAGGAAGACATGTATGCCTTTACAACGCAAACCACACACTGATTTCGGAGCATGGCATACTTGTATAAATACTTGTACATAGGCAATTTCGCCACATATGATCCACATATGCATTGCTTTTCATATGAAGATCATATGAGGATCATATGAGAATCATATGTATATTCAATCATATGAGTATCATATGTGGCAAATCATATGTGGATCATATGAATACGCATATGTAAATCATATGAAGCAATATACATATGATACACATATGAAAGTTCCTGCATATGAGAATCATATGCATATTTTGAGAATTATCATATGAGAATCATATGAAACAGATCTGTGTGTGTTTATTTATTTGTCCTTGTTATAAGCAGGTAAAATTCATTTTTATTTTAATTCAATGAGATAAAAACATACGTTTATTCACTGTTAATCAGTTAACGTAGGTCGCGGGGTTGGTGACCTTTAAAAATTGCTCGAAAACATATTATGAAAATTTGATATTTGAATCTCCTACTTTCGTTGTACATTCTCTGAAAATTTTAAAAAATTCGTCTGCATCGTTTTTGCGTTATTAAATCCCAAACATGCCATCGCTTTCGTAATATTTTCGACGCTATTCTATTGAATTCAATAGGGAAAACGTCATTTTTGACTCGTTTTTAGGAAAGATTTCGTCTAAAAAAAATCTCAGTAATATTTAAATGGTGCAGACGAAATTGTTCCCATTTTGGTCATTTCACACAGAGATGATTTCCGATAAATCTATGTAAAAAAATTAATATGTCTTCGAGTTAGTTTTTTCGTAATTTAAATGCGAATTATTGCTTTTACTTCGCAAAATTTAACATTTTTAAGAATGACGCTATAAACTTCGCGACGTCACGCTTGACGTCGTGAATACGGTCCGGTATAAAATGCAGAAAAACAAAATAATATAATAAGAAAGAAATTTATGTCTATATACATTTAATGTAAAATAAGCACAGATGTATGAGTTAGGTAACACTGTCTCTTGTCTGAAAAACTTTACGGGTTTCAATTGTTTATAAGCTGTAACTAAAGAGAGAGAGAGAGAGAGCGATCGAGAAAGAGAGAGAGAAGGCTTGGGCGGGGCTTGCAGGTACAGTACTCCTAGCGTAATTCAAAGACTTTTTTCTTACGAGAATGGGGGAGGGAATATTAATTAGAGAATTTAATTTTTTTTTTTAAAGTTTTTCTTTCTATTACACAGTGGGAGCTAGTTCTTATATGGGTGGATTTTTTGTATTTAATATGGATGGATAATATTTCTTATTCTTTACAAAAGCTTTCAAAACCCTTCTTTGTATACGGAATTTTCACATTGGTAATGCTTGTACGAGTACACACGCAGCATACGACTGCTGCTTTAACATGATGTCGCTGTCGTATCACCACATGTCGTCAGCGTTTTTTCCCCAAATTAATCCCATTCCGTTGGTAAATGAAAAAAATACCAAGAACTACTCGTGTTTTATCTGAAAATATCACAATTTTTCATCGAAATTTGTACATTGTTTGAACCTCCGATTTTTCATTCTCGATGCCGTTCGATATTAATTTAAGTATATTGAATATTTGCAAAACATGGTGTTATAATATTCTAAAGAATTCAGCCTTTGATGAGCGTTTTTTTTAAAGATATTAGGATACACAGGAACAGAGGATGCAATTTTTTTAGTTGGGGGGGGGGGGGAGCCAACCCAACAGATATAAACAAGCTCAGGCCCATAGCAACGGTTTCAATTTTTTTTCTTTTTTTGGGGGGGGGGATGGAGTGGGGGGGGGGGGAACCTAGCTTTAAAAAACCACCCCAAACAAACAAACCTAATTAGCTGTCCAAATCCTGGATGTGCCAGTGCTCGACTTCACAGGAACAGAAAATGGGGGACTTGCCCTTCCCCTCCCCCGCCGCGTTTTACGGGCCTGAAGCAGACATTCTTGAGGGGGCAGGCACAACTGCAAATTAGTTCTGTTTTCTAATTTATATTTTCATGTACTGGCAAAATTATTGAGGGGGTCAACAACTGTAAATCAGATGTTTTAATAATAGTTTCCGTTTTCCGTTGATTTCTATAGTGAAAAACACAGGTTTTACCAAAATTATAGTTATCTCTCTTT